CATCATTCGGCCAATCGTCAGGAGGCCGATTACAGCGACGCTTTCGATCGCTCACGTCGCCAATACGATTGCTGACAACACGATTACAATGAGGCAGTGACAAAATGGGTTTACTTATACCTAAATGAGTTTAGGAGCGCGAGCAACTCTGATGAGTTGATGCGCAGCAATTACGGCAGGAAGACAAATATTAAAAAAATTCTCTATGACAGTGCTTCTTGACAGTATATAAAGCAAAGTGGCCATTTTGTTTTTATCGCAGATTAGATGCACCCTAAATCTCATAATAATACCCGATTTCACTCTACTAAGCGACGGCGCTGTAGCGGAAAGCAAGATTCCTATTTGTCCCAAATAAAACCTTTACAACTTTACAATTTGTTAGCATGTTTATGGGAAGTTTGTGAAAGCATGCGTCCAGCCTACAGGCAACCGGCCCGATGACTGCCCACTCGACAGCAGTTCGTCCATATAGTGCCCTTGCGGGGTCCGCTGGCCCATCGAGTCCTCTCCGGGCCGACTGCCAGAGCCTACCTGAGGATCCTCTTGACGAACCCACCATAGATTTCAATGAGGGGCCTCCGTGTGTCCGAACCCCCGTTCATTTGTCTCCCGGATTGTCGATCTCGTTCCACTCGGGATCTCGTGACGGGGTTCCATGTTTCGCCTCCAGATGGAGCCACCAAGCACCGAATCCCACTCGGGTACGGAAATCGAAAACAAGATGCCAGGATGTGGGCGTATTTGGGTCATAAACACCGTAGAAATGCAGCTATTGATTGGTTTCTTTGCCCTTTCTCTTCTCTTCTCTCTCTCTCTCTTTCTTTCTCTCTCAACCCAGTGGCGGCAATTGAGAGGTCGTTTCACGAAGGGGTCATTCCGCAATAGAAGTGTACCCTGGTACTCGATCGAGACACTTCATCTAAACTATAGTTGGTACGAATGAAGCTATTTTATATTTCAAATAGGGGACCATCTTATTATCTTACAAACGGCTTACAATTTCATAAGCAATTAAAAAGAAAGATTGCTTGATTGATGAAGCTCACTGAAGTCAAATAATGTTTAAAAAAATCTGTTGCTTCATGCAGCTTAGTACCGCCTCGTCAAGTACGTCTGAAAGTAAATATTAGTTATCATCGCATTGTCGAAAGACAAAACCTGTTGTTCGGTTTGAATTCATACATAGATGCGTTCTTAACAAATCTAATTTTGTAACTGCTATAAAATTTAGTGCTCAGGTGCGATAGAGGTTATTACAAATTCTAGTCGAGCTACGTATGCCCGAGTGCATTCAGGAGTTTTTGTTTTATAAAGCAAACCAAGATACACATATTCAAGATGGCAGTTGAAGAGTTTCATCACCGTTTCGTGGGCAAACACACGATTACGGGAGCAGATTACCTTTTTCATATTTCAATACTTGTTTACTTTTTTTCACAAAAGTGAAGTGGCAACTTTCTCGTTTTATCTCCCTCCCTTATTTTGTTTAATTTCTGGGTTTGTCTTTCTCTATTCGTCCTTTTATTTCTAGTAAGCAAAGCTCGAATGATAATGATATAAGCTGATATCAGGTAACGTAAACATTTACTTTGAGTGGGAAAAAGAAATCTGTTCAGGTTACGTTTGTGGAGGAAAAAGGTAATAGAAGGAAAGAAAGAAGAGAAGGTATGCCAAAAATGAGATTTGAAGCACATGAAGTCTACAATGACGCTTAACTCGTATTGAACAGTTATCGTTATGTTCCGTTGTCATTATTTACCCACTTGATCATTTGCCTCTCTTGCTATGCCCCTGGTGTCCTTTGATCAGAATTTGGCACTTCTGCCATTAAAACCCAGCGCCTAAGACACGAGTGGTCACTAGGTAATGGAATTGCCCACCAGACGAGGTAATTAGAGTTAACCAAATTAACTATATGGAAGCACGGGACAAAGGGGATGTATAGGATATTTTTCTCCAAACTTCAAATAGCATCCCCTCGCCCTACCCTTTCTGTGCCTTGGACGCTATCTATATCGTCGCTTTTTCTTTTTTTTCTCTCTTAAAACTTGAAATTGATTTGGCCGTCTCTTTCACTCCTCCGTTCATTCGTTGCTCCGACTCGCTCCTCCTCCCCTGCGTTCTCCGGTCGACATCTTCAATGTGGACAGCGTTGATCAAACTCGTGGCTTTCATCGCCGACGTCACGGGAAAGGGGGGGTGAGGCAAACGAATTCCGAGAGGACAAACACACGGGCGGGCGCCCAGCCGCCGCTTTCAAGGGAGGGACGCAAGTTTGCGACTGACTGCAGTTGGACCCATTGAACCCGGCCTTTGTTTACGTACGTTCGCCAAATAGGCTTCCAAACGCTCGAGTGTTTGCTCAGTTCCCCACGCGTGACGTCGAGAAGGCCGGTGGCGCTGGCGTTGACGGGGACCGTTGTGTGGACACATTGAAGTCCCTTCGCCCGTACAGGTATTTTTGATGGTAGCTGAAAATTAGGTCGACGTTGCACGGTAAGTATGTTTCGTGATGCGTAACTGAACGTTAATTTTCACTGACATATCGAGAGGAAACCTTCTTACTTGGGAATAGTTTTTTCGTACCGTTTTCTGAACTTGAAACTCGTATGTACTCCTGACAACGCAAGAGAAAAAAAATTAGAACGTAGAGTTAGAAGGGAGCAGTTCACAAAAGCTGGGACGTACCGAGAGATATACCAAGACGTACGGTTTCGAAACCTTGTTTGAAAGAATGTAACAAAACGCTGCGAAATCCCACATAAAAATGTAGAAGAGACGCGTATTTCTTAAGAACGCAATGGGCTAAACCATCATTAAAATTAGTATATCATCTTCCTCATTCTTCGTAGAAGGTAAGCACCGAACCCCTCCAATTCCTTCTTTCTTTACATACATAAGTTTTATTATCTTTATATGCTGCGTGTGCCATATATAGGAGAATGCGGCCAAGACAGACAGGACGAGAGAGAGCGAGAGGGGGAGAGAAAGAAAAAGAAGGGGGGGGGGGATGCTTTGCTAGGAGGAGAAAAGGCTCCCAGGGCCGTTTTGGAAACTGCCCGAACCCTTAGCCCATTTCTTTCCCATTGAGCTCGAAAAGGCCGAACAATAGAGGCAATACCGTTTTTCGTTCCGGCCGTCGTCTTTTTCACCATTTACTACGATCTTTGGTCGGATTGGGATCTGCTGGCGAGCCGTTCCATGTCAGGAGCATGTGAACAACCGCCTCGCTTTTAAAGAAAGACGCCCAGAAATTTCCGAAAAAAAACTACGTGGCGGCAGTGCGATGGCAAAGGGTGGGCGGTGATGTTCTCAGATTCGGCAAGAGACACTTCGCTGCCTCGAGCAAAAGTGAGAGTTGTCTGCTTTGCAATGGACAATCAACGACCGCCCAACAGATCTTGGTTGGGGGTACGCTTTCTTGCTTTTCGACAGCAGCTTCGTGTAGTGCGCAGGGAAAGTTTAATATTAACTACGCAATGAAGATTTCGGTAGACGTTTTGTAAAGAGTAAGAGAATTAATTGTCAGAATTATTAATAGGATGAGCTCCGACGGATCTAGAACATGGGAACCTCCATCAGCCCTTCACATTCCATCATTGTTCGACATTCATTAAACAAAGCTCACAATGGAGACACCTTTTAGCTCCAAGAAATACCGTGTTTCGCGAGTTATTAAATTGCAGTTCTGCTCAGCTGCCTCAGATTTCATTTTTTCTCAAAGCTTAATTATTTTTCTGTTAAAAGGCTTCGAGATCTGGTGTTTTGAGGTTGGGTAATAAAAACAAAAGGAAGTTCGTGCTCACGTTGTGAAGCAAGTAAGCTTGATTATGTTATGCTTTTAAAAAAAATGTCAAGTATTTGTTGAAAAATACCACGCCGGCGTTTTAATTTTCAGCAAAAGCATATTAAAGAAAAAAAAAACAATCAACATTTAGGCTCAACATAGAAAACTGGGGTGTATTTGTAAACTAACTAAAAATCATCTGTAATGATCAGCCACGATTAGTCTTGAAATTGCATTCAAATATCACTAACTAGGATCCAGGTTTCTTCTATTTTCTTTTTTTTTTAATTCAAACATTTATATGTTTTGGAGTAGCTGCAGAAAATGATACCTGCGATGCAATGGATAAATCGAATGATTGCAACATGGCTCTTGCGGAAGGGCATATTTTGTTTTCATTTGACATAGTAAATTACCGTGCACTAGTGTGAACGTTTAGAATTACTCTTAAAACGACAATTTGGGGGAACTTCTTAGGCAGACTTAATTGTCAGAATTGGGAAGGCCTTTAATGGTGACGGCCATTGCTGATTCTGCAGCGTTCATTTTTGAGGTGAACGTTGCGAGTCGCCACAGTATTCGCGCAAAATCTTCTCGTTTTCCGAGCCTTGCTCGTTTTGCGAAGACACGACGTGCTAAAGCTATGGTTCCAACGACTGGTGTGTCTAGCGTCATATGGTGTGATTTTACAAAATGCCATTCGACACTCGGCGAGGCAATGTCTACGTCCAAGCTGGTAAACATTTTCTGCAATTTTTTTTTTTGTTTGTTTTTGTGGCAAAAAATATTCGCTATCATTGTTTTGATGCTGGCAGATCTCAGAAGCGTGAGGGGACTCAGTTGAGGACAAAACACAAGGATTGCGGTCCGGGCTGCATTTGCTTCACATAAATCCCAATGTTTTTATCCCTCGCATTCGCCTCAGCACATTCACTGAGGCCATTTCGACCGCGGACAAGCCAGCTTGATTTCGAAGTTCATTTGCGAAAACATTTTGAGAGATATCTTTTTGCTTGAGGAAACTGAGGCACGAACCATCCTTTATTTCCCTGAATATACTGACTAACGCAGTCAATAAAAAAAAAAAAATTCGAGCGAGCATGAAATTGTTGATTTCACGCATGAAAAAGCATCGGGCTGGCCTGTTGATTTTACCCTTTATCGTGCCTTCTCGCTGATGAACTCCTTTCCGTTCTATTCTCCCTTGCAGACATCTACAACGGTGTCAACTCCCCGGACCAGGCGCCCCCTATGCAGGCCAACTTTGCCTAGTCACGCCGAGGCAGCTACCACGAGACCACCGCCCTTGAACAACAACACCTCCTGATAGCGAGGCCGCAGTGCTGGACGTCCTACGTCATCTAAAGTGGCCAACACGGGGTATAAACTGGATTCGAAGGCCGCATCAGCTTGCGACTGCGACATGTGTTCAATCAGTGAGAACTCGAGTTTCAGCCGAACGCTGATGCGGGACTTGTGTCCAATCCCTGTCCTGCATTTGCCTCTTTAGGTGACGTTGCAATTTTAGCTTATACAGCCTTGCCTTTCAGGAGGCGTTGCCCGACACGCCGCAAGCGTTTCCCATGTTAGACCTGCTGTTTTTCTACTGCCCCTTTTGAGAGCACCATTTGTTTGGAACGCCAACTTGAAAATGGTCATTCCAAATAACGAGTTGATCTCGCGGCCCGTCATTCAGGGAGACGAAAGCTGCAGGTTTGTTTTCTTTATTTTAAATAACGTTTTAGTGCAAGACGTCGCTAATTGTTTAATAGTTTCGACGCAAGGAAATTCTCCGTAAGCTAGTTTGTGCAGGAACAGAACGACTACAGGTCGGTGTTCAACTTCGTGTAAAATTCATACTTCCTGCGCAGACCCATTGAACTGACACGAGAATATACAGTACGACTTCTTCGCCAAAGGCCAAAAAGCGTGGAAGTACAAGTGCATGGTACTTATAACCCCATTAACCGCTGACGTGTGCTATGACGACCTACATTAGTGTGAACGCCACTCCGCGTGGCTAGCGGTGCTACCAGCACCCCCTGGCGAATCCTCTGTAGAAATAAAGGCACTCCGCGGACGAGACATATCGAGCAGGCAATGTCTTTTCGTTCCCTGACGTCGTAAAAGCAATGCAGGACAAGACATAAATCAATCGCAAACTTTCTCGCAGAAGTTCCGCTTCGCTCCGAATTACTCTCACGCGATAATCATTCCACCAAGATGATGGAGGCAACGTTCGGCGCATGCAGACGAGCTGGAAGTGGGGGGCGGCGGCTAACGAAGCAGAAGTCTAGTCGTCATGACCACAGCATGCATCCAAGCTTCGCAGAACATTTTACAGGGGGCAAAGGTGGTACCGCGGGCTACTCAGAGCGGAGTTCACACTCATACTGATCGTGATAGTACGTTTTTGGCTTTGTAAAGCGGAAGGCTACTTTATACGTTACGTTTAAAGCATGAAAAAAGGGAAATATACGAGATCCCCAAATATTGTTTCATATTTTAGACGTAGCGAAAGTTTCTCTTCTGCGTAACATTCAATAGAGCTTTTAACTCGTATTAATCGGCATTATCATTCAACAAGTAAAGGAAGGAATTAATTGTGGTGAAAGTAAACTCATATCTTATAGTTATGAAACCCCAGATACAAAGGAAACAGAAGCAAAGAATAACAAAAAGGAACTACGCAACGACGTCCTTGTGTCCTCGCTTTTTCTTTTTCTTTGTATTTTGTCTTTTATCTCGAGGTTTTACAAGTATGGCCATTAACCAGCTAGCCTGCGCTATTACCATTATTTCAGTATTAATATTTTGTTGTCCTTTTTTTTTTTTGCCTTATCGTTTCCTTTACGGAGCACTTCTTTAAGACATAAGGAATGGGTTTTTTTGCGTTCCCTGCCAGCTTTCAAATCACGAACCTCGATAGCGCATATACTCCCGTTTCCTGCAGGCTTGAGAGTACCTAGAAAACAAAACGGCCATGTTCGACAACACCAAAACACAAGATGCTCCGCTGAGTACCGGCACGACCAACTTAATTCTTCCCAATAAAATTGATCGCAGACGCTTGTGACTTAAGGCATTCGGCCACCCAAAGCTGAACGCTCTCTTTATCAAATTGACAGCCATAATGGTTTCTTCTGGGGAACGCAGACCGGTTTCCATTCAAGCTTTTTCCGGTTTAAGAATGGTTCTAAGGAATTTGCGCAAAGAGGTTTATTTATGCCACGTAGCCTCAAACACAAATAGTCGCCCTGCATATGGTAGAGTTACGCATATTTTTTATTCATTAGGTGTTACCTCTATTTGCTTCGTGACAGCAAGGCTTCATCAAGGGTTAGGCGTCTGTCGATGTAATTACGAAAGAAATCAGCGTGAGAAAATTAGAAAATTATGCAAATTTCGATATTCTTTATATTTTAATACACATATCCTTCAGCTTAAGATGAAAAGGAGCGACCGAACATTTAGCTATATACATTAAAGACGGGAAGCATTATTTTGTTTTGTGACGTGCTTCCATACGATAAAAGGATACGAAGGTTTTGTGCACGATTTTCTATGGTCGCAGCCTGACTGGACGCGGCCAGGAAAAGGCGTGAAAGTAGTGTTTTGCCTTACGGTAGGGCTCTGTGGCGGCTTTTTTTGTGGGGCATGACGACGTCTATGACCACACAGTGGTGGGGGCGCTGCGAGCTTACTATCCGATGTACTACAGAAGTGCCCTAGCCGTTAGGTTGTGTTCAGTCAAGTTCCTTACATTGTGCCAGCGACGCCGTCTTCGTTTATTTCATTTAGTCCGCCGGGACCGTCGAATGCATAAAGTCCTAACGCGATTCGTTTATCGCAATCAAACGCATGCTTTAAATAATAGAAAACACGAGGCTAAAAGTCCCAAAGCTAATACTATATACAGCATGAAGTCTGGAATTAAGGCCGCTGATTCGTAGATATTGTTAAAGAAGTCGTCTATATCTTTGTTTTCTGGAATCCTCAATTGTATAAAAATAAAAAGGTTACGACAATAAATCAAAAAGGTATCACAACGTTAATGTAGTGGCGTTTGTCCTCATGGCAGGCCACGATAAACCATTAGAATATGTGAAAGAAAGCCCAGTAGGTTGCACATTCCTTAGTGGTAGGAAGACCACAAATGACAAATAATGGCAGGCCTGCAGCGCCCCCTCCCCCCACCCCAGAAAAGAGCGCGTGCATCTGTGAGCGAAGATAGAGGCCGCTGATGTGAGAAAACGTGCGATTGGATTTGGTATGTGCTCTAGTAAGCCGTAAGCTCTTAGGCGACTTCCCTCTTGCCGACCAAAGAAAAAAACCTCTTGTGATCACGCTTGCCGGACCAAACTAATGTAGATTCAACCTCGACCAAATACACGCAGCTCAGTTCGACTCACCTATAGAGTTTGCCATGGACCGGAACTACTTTCTACCACGAACCACCAGCCTGTCTACGATACTCATAGCATATCTCTACATGCTTCAAGAACCTTTCCGTGCGCCCTCGCAAATGTCAGTTTCCTGTATTATGCTGACACATATCTACCCTCCAGAAGTGTCTCGATATTTCCGTATCAACAGACGTACTTATATCTTCATACTACTACCACTTCGCTTTCTCCCTTCTCAACTCTCCGTGTAAGTAACTCCTGCCGTTTCTCTGTACTTGGAGACATCTGTAGAATCATACAAACTGTTGCTACGACACCAAGCGTTGCCTTGTCCGTCGAAGATGCCCCTTGCGGGACCAAAAGACGACCGTTGTTGAAGATGCACCCTGGACCGCCGGCTGCAACGCGTCTGCGTGCTTCACAGTTATTGACCGTTGGCCGCAGAAGAAAGCCTGTTCGCTTTTCTCTTCCCTGTGCAATGTGCTGAGTGACTTCTGAGTTAAGAGCTCGCGTGAGAGTGTATGTGTGTGTGTTGTGTCACCGGAGAAAAAAAAAAAGAAACAAACAAAAGGACAGTAATCAAGAATGAGCTGCTTCTGTCTCTCGGAAAGGTACGTGTCCCATCCTGGAAGTCCGCGTAGAATTACTCAATACGAGGAAGTACACGGGTGGAGAAGGTTCGAAGGGAAGGCGCCCTTCCCTGTAAGTTAGGGACAAAAGGAATTGGTGCTCCGTATCAACAGACTTTGCAAGTGCTCCGGGTGTGTTTTCGAACTGTTATACTAGTCCAAAGGTTTAGCGTCACGACAGTTCGCTGGTGTTGGAAAGGGTGCTGAAAGAAATGGCTAAGAAAACAAACATAAAATTCTGAATTGTACATATGTCTATTGTCATTCACAACTTGAGAAACGCAGGGCGTGACAGGGCCTGAGCAACTTACTGCTCCGTAGCCAATAAGATTGGCACATTGGCTGAAAATGATCGCCAAAGAACAGATAGCAAAGTCCCGCGTTTCTCTAGCTGTGAGTGATTCTATGTTCTAATATTTTTGTTGGCTGTTTATTTACTATTTTTTTTGTTTTATATTCTTGAAAACGCTCATCACGTCGTGTCAAACGATTTGTTAATTTTAAGTGGGAAACATGCTCAGTACTGTTTGAACATTTTATGTGCTTTTCAAGCGCCGTTTGTTGCCTCTGTTATGCCTGCGACAACCGTCGAAATGACCGTTTTAGGCACACATACAGGACTCCGAAACATTCAGGTACCCGTGTGACCTGGTATAAGCTATTTTATAACAAAGTAAAAAAATATTTGGTGCAGGTTAAAGACGCTTTGTGCGATTTTGTTACAGTGAAGATTCTGCCACCTGGTGTGTATGCGAGATCTAAGCAAGCATTGTTTTATATTCACTTCATATCTGAAGATGCTTTTATACATGTTGGGCTTTAGCGATTAAGTGTTACTTATTGTACTTCCTGCTTTTCAACTTTGCCTGTTTAATTGAACGTTTCAGCAATAAGCTTCTGCTTTGTCAGCTAAAGATACATATTGAACGAATGCGGTCTTCAAGCTTGTGGGAATTGCAGATCTGCTCCAAGAGATAACACGAAGGCAAACATAAACAAACGCCCAATAGTTGGCTTAATGACTTGCTTCAGTGCACGCTGTTCGTCATTAAACGCACGAGAATCGAACGCATAAGAATGAAGGACAGAAACTATATCGTCCATAGTCCACATAATTGAACCTTGCTTGGTTAAAAAAAAATATAACAATAAACTTCTATGCATAAATTTAAAAAAAAATCTCACTAAGGTTGCCATTGCTGGGGAAGTGTCTAATCTGCATGAAACATGGTATTTCTCTGGAAACCCAACAAAAGAGCAAATAGTCAAAATAAATATACTAATCAATACGACATTATTTTTTCCTCTTTTCTGCATTTTCAAACGCGATGCCGGCTAGGCACCGAGAACGCTTGATTTCAGCTTGAGCGAATTCTGCAGATAGGGTGCTGCTTAGCGATATACCTTTACCCTGTTCACACGGGCAGCCAG